AGCAACTAAGGTGCCGGGCTAGCTAGAGCTCTCCTAAACAATTCTAGGAGCAAGGTCACACAAACCTATGCCACTAGTACTTTAAGTAACAAGGGAGCTCCTACACATGCTAGTAAGTAAAAGCACAAAGCTAACTAAACTCACTAGCAATGCTCAATAACAAGGCAACCAATGCCTAATTAGAGAGCGCAAATACTTAGCTACACAAACTAAGCAATGTGACTAACAAGGTTACTAAAACCAAATTAGCCACGCAAGGGAGCTACTTCTATGCTACACAAGCAAGAAGGTAATTAGCTAGCTACACAAGCTATCTAATTACAAGAGCAACTACACAAGCTTAAGATATATATAAGTAATTGCAAGCTTGTGTAATGGGGATGCAAACCAACGGGAAGAACAAGGTTGACACGATGATTTTTCTCCCGAGGTTCACGTGTTTGCCAACACGCTAGTCCCCGTTGTGTCGACCGCTCACTTGGTGGTTCGGCGGCTAATTAGCATCACCCGCTAAGCCGCACGTTGGGCACCGCAAGAACCTACCCCTTGAGTAAGGGTAGCTCAATGACACGCTTTACTAAAGTTGTTCTTCGACTCCACTGGGCGCAGCACAAGTACCCCTCACAAGCACTTCTCCGGGAGCGCCAAGACAAGCTTCTTGCGGGCTTCGACGGAGACCACCACTGCCGTCTAGGAGGTGGCAACCTCCAAGAGTAACAAGCACCACCAGCTTACAACACGACCACCTAGTGCCACTCGATGCAACCTCACGATGCAATCGCACTAGAATCGCTCACTCACACAATCGAATGATCACTATCAAGTATATGTGTGATGGAGGGCTCCCAAGCACTCACAAGCATGGACACTAAGTCCCCTTAGGTGCTTAGCACTAGCCATGGCCGAGGGCCACTTCTATTTATAGCCCCAAGGGCTAAACTAGCCGTTACCCCTTCACTGGGCAAAAATCGGGCCGACCGGACGCTCCGGTCGTGTTGACCGGACGCTGGACCTCAGCGTCCGGTTGCCCGCAGACGGCCACGTGTCCTGATTCCAACGGTCCACTTGACTCGACCGATGCAAGAAGCTTCAATCGACTGAGACGCTGAAGCCCAGGCGTCCGGTCGTTTCGATAAGCTCCCCGAGGCGTGATTTCTTCGACCGAACGCGTCCGGTCCACCTTGACCGGACATGACCAGTCGTCCGGTGCAATACCCTCGATGCAGATCTGAACCGTCGGTTTGACCGGACGCAGCCTTTCAGGCGTCCGGTCACAGATGACCCAAATATCCGGCCGAGAGACCCGACGCCAAAGATCTTCGCGATCAACTCGTTTTCACTTCTAACTTCTTCACCATTGCTCCAATGTGCCAACCACAAGAATTTGCATCCGGCGCAATAGAAAATAGGCATTCCATTTTCCCGAAAACGCCGAATCCATCTCAACCCTGCAAACACCACCTCCTTTGTAAATGTGCCAACACCACCAAGTGTACACCACCATGTGTATGTGTGTTAGCTTTTCACAATCATTTCCCAAAGGATGTTAGCCACTCAACTTGCCACGCCACTCGATCCTAGCGACGATGCAAAGTTAGATCACTCGAGTGGCACTAGATGACCGATATGCAAATAAGTTTGCCCCTCTTGATAGTACGGCCACCTATCCTAAACCCGGTCATAAACTTCTCTACACACCTATGACCGATGAAATGAAATGCCCTAGGTTATACCTTTGCCTTGCGCATTCCATTCCATCTCCTCCAATGTCGATGCAACACATGCACCAACACGATCAACAATGATATGATCCACTTCATATCATCACGTGATCATATTGGTTCATCGATCTTGACTTCACTTGCCCTTCACCATTGCCATCGTCCATCGGCGCCAAGTCTTGCTCAAGCTTCACCGCCACGCGGTCCATCACTCCAAAGCCTTCGACTTGCCCTTCACGCTTGCAACCGGTCCATCAAGCCAAGTCTTGTCTTGATCTTCTCCACCTTGATCACATGACTCAATGTCATGTCTCATGTGCGTTAAGCTCCTTCATCATCACATGTGTGAGTTTTGCAACATCTCCAAGCCATTGTCACCTTCATGGCATATGTTGCTCACACACATGTACCTGTGGACTAATCACCTGTGTATCTCACGTAAACACAATTAGTCCACCTAGGTTGTCACTCAATTACCAAAACCACATAGGGACCTTTCAACGTCGCGCCAGGCGTGGCATGGGGCGGGCAGAGATGGCGGAGACGGCGAAGGCGAGGAACACGTAGAGCGGGAGGAAGGCCGCCCGAGTGCGGCGAGGAGGAGGAGCTGGCAAGGCACGGGCGCGACGTGGTCACCGACAAGAGCGCCAGTGGAGGCTCGGCGGGCAGCGCACGACTTGGCTGCTTGGGGGGAGCTCGGCCCTTGGTCGCCGGAGCAGCGCGGCGCGACCTGCGACCTGCGAGCGAGGCCTCGACCGCACGCCGTCTTCTTAGGGCCCGACGGCGCGTCGGGGCCGGGGCTCGAGGCAAGCGGCGGACGCGGCCCGAGCGGACGCCGGTTCATCGGGGCCAGGCTGGCGCATCGCGGATGTGAGAGGGAGAGGGGAGCCGGGCTCGCCGGAGTTGGGAGGGGGCTCGCCGGAGTCGGGATGGGGCTCGTCGAAGTCGGGAGGCTGGTGCATCGCGGAGAGGGCCGCGTGGTCGGAAGAAGATGCCGATGGGGAAAAATATAGAGAGCAGTTTACGCCTTGATAGAAGGGCATTTTGGACGTTTCCACTGACTAGCCCCACGTGTCAGGGCTGGCAAATGGCAAAAATCAAACAAAAGGTGAACCGAATGGATTGAGAGGTAAAAAAGTAAAGTGTCATGGAACATAGATGCGTTCAAATTTTTTAGTGGCACGTAGGCCACGACCATACTTTATAATGGCTCACAGGTAAAAGGCCCTTTTGTACTGGGGAGAACTGGAACCCTGGAAGAAGGGGATGAGGTGGTGGGGACTGGATTAGTGGGCTGGTTTTTGAATTTATGGACCGAGCGGTTTCACAAAACATATGGGCTGGGGCACCAAACATATGGACCAACTCTGGAAAGCTGAACTTATCCCCCCCCCACCCCCACCCCCCTAAAAAAACTCTGGAAAGCTGAAGGGGACGTTAGTGTGCTGGTTTTTATGACTACGTGCCTGTGCCATTGCGACCGGACTTCATCTGTCATCTCCACGTCGATTCCGTCGGCCTGAGGAGCTAGTATTAGCTTAGTTTAGGGTTTTCGTGCCAAATTTTTGGCATAGTATTGCTCCCGTTCTTCCCCGGTGGTGATACTACTAGACTCTATTCCTCTCGTGGATCCAGAGTAAGAAACTCCCTCTATCCCCAATTAACTGTCGCTTCGCTGTTGGTTTTCTGTATCGAAAGTTTGACTCCATTTGTAGAAAAATACGTGCAACATTTGTATTCCAAATAAATTTATTAAAAAACTAGATTCAAATATCTACCTAATGATATTAATTATGTATCATAAATATTAATATTTTATATATGTATACTTAGTCAAAGTTGTTTCGAAAACGACATATATTTAGGGACAGAGGGAGTACATTTTAGTTTGCTTATTTGTGTTATGACTCGAATCATTCTTTTATCGTGTTGGGTTTTAGATGCTCGAGGTCATGGTTCGGTACATCATCGACATCAGAATCCTTCTCCTTTGCGGTGTTCATATACCTTCCAATCCAAGCTTCTTGCAGTCTAGGTTGGATGTGTCATGTGTGTGCACTCTCTAATTTTGGGTTGCCCAAAGCCCCAAACTATGGGGCTGTTTGGCGGAGCTCCGCTCCGCGCCGCACCAAACAGGCCTTATTTCTTCTATCGGATGAATAGGCGGCGCCAGGGCCCTGACAGATGGACAAGCAACGCTTCTATGGCAGTGTGGACGGGGGCGGGGCTAGTTGTGGGCCAGTGGCGCAGGTGACCCAAGGTGTGGCTGAGCGATACGGGCCTGTCGCCTCGAGCAGTGGAGGTGGTGTAGGGCGCCGGGGGAGAGGAGGCACTGTAGAGCGATTGGGAGGCATGCCCTGCTTCTGCCAACACACACGGGGAAGATAAGGCTCGGTTGAGAAAAAGGAGACTCGTGCGCCTACTAACGGTGCCAAACAAAAATTTAAGATAAACTTATCCCTTCAACTAAACACAAAAGTGGGTTAGTTCCATGCTAAAATTATGGACGGATATATCCCATCTTATCTTGTCCTTAGACCAAACACATGTTTAGCTTCCTTCGTTGTAAGCTAAGACTTTCTTAAAAGTTATTTAAGTGTTCATGGGTTATATAAACCCTAAACTAGCTATTGCAATTCCAAGGGGACGATAGCGAGAGCGCCACGAGTGGAGCCGCTGGAGGCCGATGTCCATGCGTGACTACTAACAAACTAACAACGACATCCATGATCTCTCTATTTTTTTTGCAATTCCATCGTGACGATAGCAAGAGCACCACGAGTGGAGGTGGAGCCGCCAGAGGCCGGTGTCCATGTGTAACAATTAACAAACTAACAACGACTTCCATGAACCATGGTTAAAGGTTGGATGGTTCAGTCCCAAGGTACCGCAGCCACGAACGGACGAACGTGAAACTGCAAGGCTGGTGGGCCTATTTGCCAGAAAACCTTTTGGCCTGCTGGATTACTTGCCGGTTTGGCGCCTCTCATCCACTGACTTCTCGGTCCGAGCAATTATAGGCCCCGTGGTTCGGCAACCTGCTGTACACAGCTACACGTCAGAAAAAAAAAAGCTACACGTCATCGGACCGATCATTATCCGCGCAACCACCCATTTTTTCCCTTGCAAATTCCAGTCCGATTTGGACATCGTCTCCTTCCTCCTCTGTCCACCTGTTCTGCACTTCTGCCGCCGCCGCTCCCGCTGCCGCTGCCGCAGGGAACCCTAGACCCAGCTGAGCAACCCCCCACGGCTTGCACGGCGTAGCTTTTGCGGAAAATGGAGTACGGCGTCGCCTCTCACGGCGCCGTCCTCGCCGCCGCGCCGCTCGTCGCACGGCCGACCTGGCTCCTCCTCTCGCCGCCGCCACCGGCGTCCTCTATTCAGGTCCTGCTGTACTGCTTTTAGCGTTGTGTTTGCCTGTTTGGTGTGAGACACCTTTTTTGGTGTGGATGCGTGGAATCTGGTGAGGTGATTGATCGGGAGTGGGAGGTGGGGAATTTTGGTACGAGGGGCATCCGAGGTGTTAAATCAACGAAGTGGTCAGTATTTTTATGCCCATGCGTTTAATATTCTAAGCGGCCGTGCTTTTTTTGCTCGTGCAGATTCAGAATCGTCTTTATTCGATCTCGTCACTTCCACTAAAGGCTGGACCTGTGAGGGCATGCAGAGCTTCTTTAGCCAGCAGCTACACGTATGGCATTTCGATTATAGTTATAGCATGCCTGGTTGGCATGTACCTGTCATTGATATTTTCTTGCACCAAATTGTCCACGATTGTGTTCATGTCCTCGATGTAGTTATGATCTTCTGATGGCATGGCACTTACTGCTTTGCAGGCAAACATCTGAAACTGTTGATTTGGACTGGGAGAACCTGGGTTTTGGGATTGTGCAAACTGATTATATGTATATTGCTAAGTGCGGGACAGATGGGAACTTTTCTGAGGGTGAAATGGTGCCTTTTGGACCTATAGCGCTGAGTCCATCTTCTGGAGTCCTGAATTATGGACAGGTTAGTAGGATATAGATCTCTTTGCTTCATATATTCTGTGGTAGATCAGACTAGTTGAAAACAGAATACTTTTTGAGGTTATACTCTATTGTTTGTGGTAAAATGATGTTGAGTCTGATTTATAGGGATTGTTTGAGGCCCTAAAGGCGTATAGGAAAACTGATGGATCCATCCTATTATTTCGCCCAGAGGAAAATGCTCAGAGGATGCAAACAGGTGCTGAGAGGATGTGCATGCCTGCACCTTCTGTTGAGCAGTTTATTGATGCAGTAAAACAAATCGTTCTAGCAAATAAGAGATGGGTAAGTTCACTGGATACAAAGTTAGGGTACTTTTTGTAGTGCCATACCCATTACTTATGATCATGGTTTAATTGGTTATCAAATATCTTATGCTTCCAGATTCCTCCTACTGGTAAAGGTTCTTTGTATATTAGACCCTTACTTATGGGAAGTGGGACTGTTCTTGGTCTTGCACCTGCTCCTGAGTATACATTCATTATATTTGTCTCTCCTGTTGGGAACTACTTTAAGGTTGGTACTTTTTGTTTCAAATTCTGCTTCCACTATTTTTGTAAAATACTTGTTTAAATAAATAATCATTAGATTAGATACTGATGTATTTTTATAAGCCATGTGCTATGTGCCCCATGGCATTGTACTGTGGAATTAAAGTTATGCTGCAAGCTTGCAACTAGAATTATGGTTATTGTTGTACTGTTATTGGTTATGATTAACTAACCTATGGAATTGTTGAATGTTGATGCGTCAAGCTAAAGATTAGTTGTTGAATATATTCACTGGTGTCTGCAGGAAGGTTTAGCACCGATAAATTTGATAGTTGAAGACAAGTTCCATCGTGCTACTCCTGGTGGTACTGGAGGTGTGAAGACCATAGGAAATTATGCTTCGGTAATTTATCTATTCTACTTTGCTGCGCAAGTTATTGAAGCTACACCACTGTTATTTCTGCAACCTTGCTCCCTGATACTGCTGTTGCCTATTACCTACTAATGTAGTTACTTTTTAGCTTCAAATATTCAAATTGCAAAAAAAAAAAAAAAAATGCCAACAAGGTGATTGAATATAATGTGGCATACAATTCTTAAGAATACATCATCTGTACCTTGCTATGAAATGACAAAACTTGAAGCTAAGCATATGGTAAAAATGGAATGGAACAGTGTCATGGAGATTTCCTAAAAATGTAGTGTTGTATAAGTTTGTTTCCTACATAATAAGCAATTCATGCGTAATGACTTTTAAAACCCAAGTATTTCCTTCGCAGTATTTTGTTATCAACATTCAAGGAGCATTATTTTTTTCCGTTAATTATACTGGAACATCAGATTTTCACCATAAAATTCTATAGTTTTTGTGCTTTTTTTGTCATTTAGATAAATATCTTGGATGTGATGGTGTATGTCCAGACATTCCAGTCAGTCCCATGAGTCATGATTGGTCGTTATCTATTATTAACTATTACTTTTTGCTATTATTCTGTGGCAGAAATTTGATATTGTATACACAAAGATTTTAAGAAGTATAGTCTTCTTGATTGTCATCATGTGTTCTTGTCATTGCATAGGTGTTGATGGCACAGAAAATTGCAAAGGAAAAGGGCTATTCTGATGTCCTCTACTTGGACGCTGTTCACAAGAAGTACCTTGAAGAAGTTTCTTCATGCAATATTTTTGTTGTCAAGGTAAAACTGCTAACACTTTTTATTTTGGCTTGAATCTTGGTTTTAGCAGGTCCAATAATTTTAAGTTCTGAAAGCTAGTAATCAGTCAAGCTTGTTAACCTATTTAATTCAATTTTTTCTCATTTCGCCCTAATTCACGCCTGGAACGCTAGGTGAATTACATTTGTCTTGAAACGATAAGCTTGTCATGAGGCCTGTCTTCTATGAGTAATTGATAACCACATTAGTATCCCAACTCTCAAGTGTGCTCTTCCAGTGAAGTAGGATAAGAGATTTTTCGTGTCAGGCCTTCTATGTAGAGTAAATCTTTGTGACTGAAAATTTTAACCTCCTATCATGCGTAAACCTTTTGTGTCTAGTCACCTAATGGAAACCAGAAGCATGTCTGTAACACATTGATTTGTAGGTTGCCCTACAGGTCAGGACTATTTTATATACACGAAGATAGAAGGTTCTTTGCCAGATTGTTGCATGCCTGTTCAATAGTATATAGTGCCACTGCCGCCTGGTCCACCTCTATTGTCACCTAATAAGTTGAGCCACACTTCGCAGCTTAGAACCTTGCAGAACTTATATCTGCCCTGTTTTTCAGCACTACTTCAGCAGTACTTTTCAGTTAAGGAACAGTGTTTTCCTCTCACAACAAATCAGCATAAGCTGCAGCACAAGCCAAATTTCTACTGGACGACCTGTTGTTGAATTCTCTCGATTTTCCTGCTGACTTGCATTTGTATATCGTATAGAACATGCTGTGCCTACTTTCGTATAGAACATGCTGTGCCTACTTTTTCTTAAGGTCCTTTAGTTCATCAAATTAATGGGCTAGCTTATGCATGTTCTCTGTTACTTAGACATCTTTATTCCATTTATCGTCTTATGCACCAGGGCAATGTTATTTCTACCCCAGCAGTAAAAGGAACAATATTACCTGGTATCACAAGGAAAAGTATAATTGATGTTGCTTTGAGTAAGGGCTTCCAGGTAATTACTTGTCGTTGCCATGAACTGAGAAATCATCTAGGAGGTTAGTTGCTTCTTATATTAGCTTCAATGCCTTTGCTTATATAAGTTAGCAGTGGTTTTAGGACAGGAAAGAGTGAGCCTAGGTCCATCTATCCATGTTTTGCAAGTGGGCTCTAGCCTCTAACCATGTTGGCTAGCTCGAGTTGGAGCTAGCAATCATGGTTGGATTCCTAGTTTGCACATATGCCATTTCATATGGCAGGAGGCCTGGCTGAGCCCCTAGTCTTTTCTTCCCTTTCTATATTCATTTTTGTTAGTGCATCTCACTGTTCTTCCCCTTTCACTGTGAATATTAACAGGGCTACTATATTACATACTATTTTACCAAGAATATATTTATTCTTTTACTTATTGGGCTGTATCATTAAGTGAATGAAATTAGACCTTGGTGGTGATGTTGACCCAGTTGGAGGTGGCAACTGCAAGACATTCTTCTGAAATCATGATGAAAAGTCCAAGGCATAAGATAAAACTTTTGTTGTAATATTAATTAACGTTTTGTTTGTGTTGCAAGGTTGAGGAGCGGCTTGTTTCAGTGGATGAACTGCTTGATGCTGACGAAGTATTCTGCACAGGAACCGCTGTTGTCGTGTCTCCTGTTGGGAGTATTACATATCAAGGGAAAAGGTGAAACATTATCTTTGCTTGAGAACTCAGTTTTTGATTGAAAACATACATTTAAATCAACTTAATTTTGTTTGTTGCACAAGTTAACTAACAGTCATTATCATGCATTGTCCCTTGAATACATTAGGCAAGCCATGAACCATTTGAAGCGCTACTTGCTTAATTTCCACTGTTGATCATTTGTGTTAGTGTTTGGTATACTGCCTTTTGTCGACCTTGTTTTGCTGTGCACTTTCTGCCTTCATGGCAAAACGTCATTTTCTCTCATCAGCATTGTCCTCGATGACTGTTAAACATGGTTTTGGAGGCGATGTGGTGTACAGTGTTGGGGGCATGCCTTAGGTAACAAGGTGTAGCTAGGACCTCAGGTCAGTCATGTGGTGTCGTGGACATGCCTATTTTCATCCCGATAATATTCTGAGTGAATGACTGAATGCCAAAAATTCAACAAACCCTTTTGTTTGCTATCAGAAAAACAACAAAACCTTTTTTTTGAAGTCCCCTTACATGTCAACTTTCCAATAAACGAAGACTGGTGTCATTATGCAAGATCGAATCACTTGAACATCTGTACATATGGATGGGTCTTACAACTTATTCTTCTAATAAAATGTTATTCTTTTTGGAGAATTATTTAGCAATTATGTCATTACATGAAGGGAGTTCACTTTGCAGAGTGGAATACGGCCACCAAGGTGTCGGCGTTGTGTCCCAGCAGCTATACACTTCACTGACGAGTCTTCAGATGGGTCAAACCGAGGACTGGATGGGCTGGACTGTGCAACTGAATTAGTTGACCTGGATCAACCCCGCACCGTGGATCATTCGCATTCGCAGCAGATGATGGGTTCGCAAGATCCTCATCTAGACGATCACAATCATGTGTACCCCTTCAGTTACAGTTTTGTAGTGTCTAATGCGATGTCCTGCTGTATAGTATTTCGTAGACAGTATTTATATAAACCATATAACAGTCGTCGTCTGTACCCTTCAGTTTTGTAGCATCTGCCGGAGACGAGTACTAGTTTGGTTATTTTCTTTCTTTTATGAACGAAGAATAGTTCTAGTTTTATCGTGAACACTGGGCATCATACATGTTTCGGATTTGACTTCGACGGCGGAGCGATTGAGCAAGGGAGAACCGGTTGCAGGCCGGGTCAAGCTGGAGTAAGTACATCAAACAAGAGTAGGCAGAGCTGTGAGGCCCAAATATGTATCGTGCCTTTTTGAGACAGCCATGTAGTAACTTGAGCAGTTGAGCGCAGTCCTAAGTCATAACCACGAAACTAAAGGGTGTTTGGATCGGATCGGTGACTAAATTTTTGGAGGTGTGAGGGTGTTATATAGGGTGTTCAGATATTAATAAAAAAATAAATTATAGAATCTATCAGTACTTTATGAGAAGAATTTATTAAGCCTAATTAATCCATCATTAGCACATGTTTACTGCAACATTATATTGTCAAATCATGAACTAATTAGGCTTAAAAGATTTGTCTCGCAAATTAGTTGCAAACTGTGTAATTAGTTTCGTAATTAGTCTATATTTAATACTCCATGCATGTGTAAGCATCCGATGGAACAACGACTAAAGTTTAGGAGGAGAAATCAAACACCCTCTAATATGGCTAACCAGAGCTTTAAAAAAAAGATGGCTAACCAGAAACTAAAATGATTTCTATTTTACTAATTAGGATGTAACTAAGGGCTTGTTTAAATCCAGGGTGTAAAATTTGGGGGTGTCACATGGGGTGTCGTATGGGGTGTTCGGATACTAATAAAAAAATAAATTATAAAATCCGTCAGTAATACGCGAAACGAATTTATTAAACCTAATTAATCCGCCATTAGCACATGTGTTACTGTAGCACCATATTGTCAAATCATAGACTAATTAGGCTTAAAAGATTCGTTTCGCAAATTAGTCGCAAACCGTGTAATTAGTTATTTTTTAGTTTATATTTAATACTCCATGCATATGTCCAAACATTCGATGGGATAGGGAGTAAACTTTAGGGGAGGAACTAAACAAGGCCTAAGTAAAGTGGAATTAAAGAGAGGATAAAATGGTTTCTTAGAAAAAAAAAACTATGTCTATACGAGATGAAAATATAAAGAGATGCGATGGATAGAAATTATCTATTAGAAATATGGTTTTTACGTGTAGTGTTTACTCCGTCTCTAAGGATGAAAACGGGACGGATATTTCTCGATATCCGTACATCCCTAAAGGGTCAAAACCTTACATGTGTATCATATTTGAATTCAAACATTTAATATTCAATCATATCTGAATCTGAATACTCAAAATTATATTTCTGTTATGTATATGAGATAGATATCAATATTCAACATGATCTATATCTAGGTATTTGAGAAAAAAGTTCATCATATCCCTCTCCCAAAATAAGTATACACCTCATTTCAATGAGTTAATTAATTTTATTTGATCAGATATATTGAAAACATAATATTAATATTCATGATATCAAATAATTATAGTCAGATTAATCAAGCCACATATTTTTGTAATAAACTTATTTGAATATACATATATTAATAAAAAATACTGTACATGCCTAGCCAAATCCAAAATTATTTGACTCATCAAAACGTGAAATGCGCTTGTTTTGGTATTGAGATCATAAAATTAAAGAGTGACCCGACAATTGCGCATGTACGCCTCTAGATCCCGCTGTGCTCTCAGCAAAGCATAGGCACGTTTCGTTTAATCAAAAGGAGAGTAGTGGCGCTGCCATACATGCACGGTCGCCTTCGACCGGGCACGCCGCGGCGCAATTGATGCGGTGCCCCGCGCTCGCTCACCCGCCCGCCACCGCCATAGTACCAAAACATCCACCCACCCATCCCCCGGTTCAAATGGCCATGTTCAATTCTCTCCATGCGCTCCCGTGTCCTTGAGCATGCAGCACACGCGGCTGTTCATTTGTTGGCGTGCACCGCGTACTCCGTGTTTGTTAGAATAAACTTTTTCTGCAAATAGTTTAGGATAAACTTATGACCACGCTCACGATAAACTAATTAACGCACATCGTGCTCCGCGGTACGTATTCAGCGAACGAGTCCTTTTTTTTTTGGTTAGCGTGTTAGCACTACGGTTGCTTCACCAGGAGAATAGTGCTTGTTGCAAAGCACAAGGCAGCAGATTCTAGATAGTGACGCCCTGCCTGGAATTTCCAGCTGGTGACCGAGAGAAAAGGCAATAGAAAACCTGAACGCGCGCCCAAGGCTGGACGAACGGGCCGGGGTTAATAACCTTATTACCTACCGGAAACTGCCGCGTCCAATGACCAAGGCCATGTTTAGTTTCACCAAAATCTAAACTTTGGCACTATAAAAAAGAAGATTCTCCGTCACATCAAATTTACGGTACATGCATGGAGTACTAAATGTTGACGAAATCAAAAACTAATTGCACAGTTTGGTTGTACTTTGCGAGACGAACGTTTTGAGCCTAATTAGTCAACGATTGGACAATTATTACCAAACAAAAACAAAACTACAGTGATTTCGGCGACGCCGATTCCACCGAACTAAGGCCGCGTTTAGATGCCAAAAAATTTGGGTTTTGGGTATTGTAGCCCGTTTGTTTGTATTTGGCAATTAGTGTCTAATTATGAACTAATTAGGTTCGAAAGTTTCGTCTCGCGATTTCTCACCCAACTGTGCAATTAAATTTTTTTTCGTCTACATTTAGTACTCCATGCATATACCGTAAAATTCGATGTGATAGGTGCTACGCAAATTTTTTTAAATCTAAACAGGCCCTAAACATGGCCCAATATCAGAATGTATACGCAGGAGTAATTGCTAGGAGGAGTACATCGGGGACGGGGTGGGGGTCTGGGGTACCCACGGCATCATCATCACGCGATCACCCCTTCCGGCCGACACTCATCCAGCCAGCCGCAGAGCATATGTAGCCAGCCGAGAACAGTGTTTTTCTCTCACACTAAATCAGCCAATAATAAATAATTCACGATACGATACGGTCTCGCGAACAGGCTGATGATTTCAGCTTCATCGCGAGACGCAACTAGCAACATTTTTTACTCGAAACCGAAAGCCGGCACGGCATGCGTGGCCTGTAGACGACGTCGATTTTTCAAAACCGAATCCAATGGAACACCTGGGCCACGGCCCACGACCACGGCCCACGATGCCGACCCACTGCCCACGCACCATCATTTCTTCGAGACCAAGGATTTATTGAGTTGCGCATGATTCAGGGCCCTGTCCGATGCAGAGGACGGCCATGATGGCGCCTGTCTGAAGCACGCACAGAAATAAATCTGCCCTGGTCGGACAGTTTCTTTGCCGCGCTAGCTCTCACTTCGCCAGGCAATTCAAGGCAGCAAAGAAATTCTTTACTGTCCCCAAATAAAAAGACACAATTCTACGGCCTGTTCGGTTAGCTGGTTCGTATCGTTACTGGTTCGTTTATGTGAGAGAAAAGTACTGCTGGCTGGTTCAGATAAACAGTGTTTTTGTGAGGGGGCTGACCAGCCCAGCCAGCCAGCCAGCCCCAGCCGATCACGCTACTATTTTTTAGAAAAAGTGAAAAATCAAGTTTTTTTGCATTTATATAAAAATATTAACATCGATATGATACTTAATAAGTATTATTAGATTAATTATAAAATATATTCGATAGTAAATCTAGGTAGAGATATAAACGACAATACTAATTTATATAAACTAGATGAAACATAAAAACCTTTTTGAGATCTAGAGGTTATTTGCCTCGAAGGTCCTTTGGTATGTAGTTCCAAATATAAAAATTATCATGATTCCTGGCAGCATGCAAATGTTTGTGTTCTCTGTTAATATTAGTACAGAAACAAGTGTGGAAAGAGAAGTTGTAAACTAGAAGATATGGAAGTTCATTAAAAAATATGAAAGTTTATTTATAATAATTTCGCAGAATATCAGACCTATAAGAATGATTCGCTTCCTTTATTAGGCCTTCTCATTTTACAAAAA